TGTGTGTGTGTGTGTGTGTGTATATACGTGTGTGTGTATATACGTGTGTGTGTGTGTGTGTGTGTGTGTGTGTGTGTGTGTGTGTGTGTGTGTGTGTGTGTGTGTGTGTGTGTGTGTGTGTGTGTGTGTGTGTGTGTGTGTGTGTGTGTGTGTGTGTGTGTGTGTGTGTGTGTGTGTGTGTGTATTTGGTTGTTGTATTCTGCTTCTAGCCGTTCCTCTCCGTGCCTAGACCATGACAACAGCAGGTGATACTCTTTATTCTTTATTTTGGCTCCTCTCTCTTTCTTCTCTCCTCGGTGCCCGTACTTTTTTTTTCTCATTCACTGTTAAATCATCTTCTCATTTCCATCCTATCTGTCTGCATGAAATCATAATGCACGACTTTACATTTCCAGAGTTCAGGTTTTGTTGACTAGGGATCTTCTAACCAAGTTTTTTTGTATCCTTGATGCAGATCTGACTCCTTTTAATCTTGCGCATCTGCTGATACAGAGACCGAATACACTATTCATATTTTTCTACCTTATATAAGAGCACTGTATGTTGAGAATAACGTAGCACATCGGGGCGTTTATGACAGCTGGATCTTAATTTGATAGTCCTTAAAGAATAAGGCTGGTGTTACTCTTTGTTTTTCTTATAGTCAACAAATCCCATGAAAGGGTCGAAATCAGTAATGACTTCTGAGTTTTCTGCCCTGTCTGTAGCACAAAACTAGCCCATTTCTCCCTACTGAAGACTTTAAAAACTGTTAAATATATAGTTCCATTTTTTTTATTTCCTAAAACAGCGAATGTTACTCAAGCAGGAGTAAAGCACTGATCTTGCAATTTTACTCTAGACATCTCTAAGTTTACGCGTGTCAACATTTCATATACAGCAACCTTGAGTATTAATGTAAGCACTTGCTTGCCTGAAGATGCCTAATATTTGATACATATTTGCTCCTTAAAACACAAGATTATCCAGAAATAATCTTGTCCAATGCCCTCCTCTTTGCTTGCCTGGCTTGCAAATCAAATGCAAATGAAACTGGAAAGACAACGGGCTGGAATGAAATATAATCTGCTGCAATATGCTTGTTGTTATATCAGAAATGAATGGTGTCATGAAGATAGTTCCTTCTTAATGTAATGGCATTTGCTTTGTCTGCATGGAGGCTCATGATCAACAGATTTAATATCTGTGCCAGAAGTGTTGCATTTATTAACCACCGATTTTAAAAAGAAAAACAATTATTGGATTTCTTGCCGGACCCTTTTTTTCTCAGCTTCCTGGTCAGCTTCATGGTAGATGCCAGGGGCGGGGCCATGCGTGGTTGCCGTCACAACGGTCTGCGAATCATTGTGCCACCAAGAAAGTGTTCTGCACCCACGCGGGTGACATGTAGGCTGGTGAAGAGACACCGTCTGGCCTCCATGCCCCCTATGGTGGAGGGTGAGGGGCTGGCTGGTCGCATCATCGAAGTGGGACCCACTGGAGCCCAGTTCCTGGGGTAAGTGTGTGTGTGTGTGTGTGTGTGTGTGTGTGTGTGTGTGTAAGTGTGTTTACACTGTTGTGTGGTGTGTTCATATTTTCTTCTTCATTCCCCCTCTGTGCTGCGCATGGATCAGTAAGCTCCACCTTCCCACAGCTCCGCCCCCTCTAAATGAGGGCGAGAGCCTGGTCAGTCGCATCCTGCAGCTGGGTCCTCCAGGAACCAAGTTCCTCGGGTAGGACCATGGTTGGGGAACACCCTACCATCCCGGAAGTGGTTACATACTCACCCATATTTTTCCACCGTGTCCACCCGAGATTGTTTTATTATTTACTATAAAAGTGCAAGCCTTTGTCTGAAATTCCCCGACCCGTTGCCTTGTGTTGTTGCGTTATCCCCGTGCTTTTCCTCCATAGTACCAATCCCCACAGTAGTTGGATTCTGCTCCTGATGTAGAATTGATTTTCTCGTTGTGTTTGAATATTTTTCAAATATCTTTTTCATGAATATGTTTGTTTTACTAGGCATGAAATGCATCTGGTGTTTTCAAACTCAAATTTAAATCTTGTGTTCTTTTTTGTTTAGTTTTTTTCTGTTATTGCATAAATCAAACCAGACATCATATTATCTCCGATAAAGCCACCACATACTTTCAAGTCCAATTTGTGTTTCCAATTTTGTGACTTTAACTTGTCACCATTTTTAGGCCCGTGATTGTAGAGATCCCCCATTTTGCAGCCCTGCGGGGAACAGAGAGAGAGCTGGTGATCTTGAGGAGTGAGACGGGGGAGAGCTGGAGGGAACACCACTGTGACTTCACCGAAGAGGAACTGAACCAGATACTTAACGGCATGGATGAAAGTACGGGATCTTATGTAGACTGGGATGCTAATCAAGGGTTGTTGATAGGGTTTGATATCTTGCATCACGTCATTTTTTGATGCAAACAATACATGAAAACACAGCAGCGCAGAAGCCACAGTACGATAACATTAAGCCATGAGGAACTAATGAATGAAGGAAAAACTGCAACACCTTTACACTTGAACCTTCATTCAAACTTCACACAATTGACCGCTCATGTAGTATTTAATTCTCATTATTTCTACTCTTCACAGAACTTGATTCTCCTGAGGAGCTTGAAAAGAAAAGAATATGCCGCATCATCACTCGAGACTTCCCGCAGTATTTTGCGGTGGTGTCACGGATAAAGCAGGACAGTCATTTGATTGGACCAGAGGGCGGGGTCCTCAGTAGCACTCTCGTGCCCCAGGTCCAGGCTGTCTTCCCCGAGGGAGCCCTCACCAAAAAGATCAGAGTTGGGTTACAGGTACGTACAGTGCATATTTCTTAGCCAGACAAGAGTCAAATGTTCAAAGTTATGGCAACCGATAAAGTTATGTTGATACGCATTACACGTTATCCCAGGCTCAGCCCATTGATGTCGATGTGGTGAGAAAGATTCTGGGTAACAAAGCCACATTCAGCTCAATTGTCACATTGGAGCCAAGAAGGAGGAAGTTCCACAAGCCGATCACGATGACAATCCCTATTCCCAAGAGCTCCAATAGTGAGGAGCCAAGCGGAGTGTACAGTGGGGAGACCCCCACCTTACGTTTGCTTTGTAGCATTACAGGTAAGTAGCGGGAATAATCAATCAGCAGAGTCAGCAAACAATAAAATAAATAAAAGCATTTTCAGCTATCACTAGTTTGTGGTAATGTAGGACAGTCAAAATAAATACTCAAAATGTTACCTCTGTATTCTAATGTTTTCCAATGCAATTGTCATTTGGGCATTTTCCATCAATGCATGCTTGGATCCAGAAATCCTGTCATCATTTTTGTTTTCTATAAATACAAAAAAAAGTGAACAAACGTGACAGGCTGGGGAACAAATCATGGGTCTGTGTTTCAGGTGGAACGACTCCCGCCCAATGGGAGGACATAACCGGCTCCACGCCTCTCACCTTTGTTAACCAATGTGTGTCCTTCACCACAAACGTGTCGGCGAGGTAAATTCTCCCTTTAAAGTGTCCGTCACATCGAAGCTTAACACTTTCTTGATGTAGGTGATTTGACTAAATATGTCCTCATATTCCTAGGTTCTGGCTGATAGACTGCAGACAGATCCAGGAGTCGGTTAGCTTTGGCACTCAGCTGTACAGAGAAATCATCTGTGTTCCATACATGGCCAAGTTTGTCATCTTTGCCAAGACACTGGACCCCATTGAGGCCCGTCTGCGCTGTTTCTGCATGACGGACGACAAGATGGACAAGACCCTAGAGCAGCAAGAGAACTTCACTGAAGTTGCCCGGAGCCGAGATGTTGAGGTGGGGAATAAATAAGAAGAGGGGAAAGTGTGAGAAAGGATTTATGTAGGATATAACGAAGGATAGAATTGTGAGAAAGGATTCCTCGAGGATATAAAGAAGGATAGAAGTGTGAGAAAGGGTTCCTCGAGGGTATAAAGAAGGATAGAAATGTGAGAAAGGATTCCTCAAGGGTAAAGGGTATAAAGATGGATAGAAGTGTGAGAAAGGGTTCGTCGAGGGTATAAAGAAGGATAGAAGTATGAGAAAGGATTCCTCGAGGGTATAAAGAAGGATAGAAGTGTGAGAAAGGGTTCGTCGAGGGTATAAAGAAGGATAGAAGTGTGAGAAAGGATTCCTCGAGGGTATAAAGAAGGATAGAAGCATATTGTGGAATAAGTGCACTGGATAGTGAAAAGTGGGTGTCAGGGACTCAAAAAGAGGTTAGTGCAGACACTGCCTACCAACTGGTTCTTACTAATACATTTCATGTCCTTCAAAAATTCTGACAACACTGTTTGAGATTTGACAACTTTAACGGTTTGTTTGAAAGAAAACGGCTCTCATATCTCCACACAGGTGCTGGAAGGAAAACCCATATTTGCCGACTGCTTTGGAAACCTGGTGCCTCTAACCAAGAGCGGACAGCACCATGTCTTTAGCTTCTTTGCTTTCAAAGAGAACAGACTGGCCCTCTTCATCAAAGTATGACTCAACATTGGATAAAAATGTCTGAAATTTCTACTTATTTACTTAGAGAATCAGAAACGATATCTGTACATGAAAATATATGTAATAATGGGCTTCATTGTTGTTTAATTATTGGACAGATTAGAGACACAGCACAGGAGCCATGTGGTCGCTTGTCCTTCACCAAGGAACCACGCACATATCGTACACTAAACCACAATGCCATCTGCAACCTTAACATCACTCTCCCAACATACTCAAAGGTCAGTTTTAATACATCTCAAGTTGTATTTACATAACAATCGTACATTATTTTTTGTTTCATTGTGTAACTGCATTGTTTCCTTTTTCTGTTTTATTCTTCTCTTCAGGAGTCTGATTCAGACCAAGATGCAGATGATGAGGTAAATAAAATGTACTTGTTATAGTACCCCCAACAAAGGAAAAAAGCTGTCATAATTAGGTTGTAGCTAACTATGCTTTTTATTTTTTTTTTGCAGAGCGAGAGGAGTGACAAGAAATGTAAGCTGAACTCTTGTTTTGTGTTAAACATTTTTAGAATTTTGTGATTTATTTTCACAAATCTTTCAGAAATGTACCCATTAATTTGAGACATTTTGCAATCCATTTTTCAATGGTTGCTGTGTCTGTACTGAGGGTGCCACTATATACTTATTATATAAATATTTTGTCAACTACAACACAATCTAAATTGGAGTCACATCACTTGACATAAGATGATAAAGTTTGTAAAGTATTAGTTTAGAAATATTTACAGCTGTATGTGCTAAGAAATGCACTGATTGATACATGTTACTTTCCATTTGGATTAACCCTGCTCTCTTATTTTGCTCTACTAACACTGTGTATTGTTACTGAAAGCTATGCTATGGCTGATGTACTCTGCATTTCCCTCACTCCAAATCCCACTGACTTTCTCCCACCCATAACATTTTCTATATAACCTTTTTATTTTAATCATAAATGAAGGTCAAAATAATACTCTTTATTCAAATCCACTTAAAATCGCTTTGATTTTTAAGGTATTCATGTTAAAATTCCATCTTATCTTGAAAATAATTTTGTTTTGTGGTAATAATATGCAGTATGAAAAGTATTCATTTTGACCACTCATTTTCTCTCATCTCATTCATTTAACATTTTTACCAGTTGCATGCTGAGAAACTGTTGTTCTCTACAGAAATAATTAAAAGACATCATTTTGTTTGTTCTTTTTAAAGTGCGTTGATTTATTGCTGATTTATTTTTCATTATCACTAATTTTGTATGAATTTGGCCACTACTTTTTCATACCAACATTCCTGACTTGCTTTCACTCGAGTTGCACAACAAATCAAATCCTTATTCACGTTTTTACATGATTGTTATTTTAAGTCACTACTTCTTGTCTGTAGGTGAACTAATAGTGTAATAATGTCACAAAACAGTAGTTAATTACCATATAACATAATTTACTTATTTGTAAGGAAAGTATTTTCCTTTCCTTACAAATAATTATAAACTTTAAAACTGACCATCTAATAACCTGTAACAAAGACTATATTGCTTGATATTATTTCCTTACTTTACACCCCCTTCTATTAAACACCCTATTATTTGTTTGTATTCAAAGTTAATTGTGATTTCTATGTTTTAACTTTAATGTTATAGGCAGCCATGTCTCTTCATGTCAGCAACAATCTTGAGAAATTTTGTTTGTCTGTTATCCTTACTTCCTGTCCATTTGTTCCATATCTCTGTTCTCTTTGGTTCTTTTATATTCTCTTAATATGTAGTGAAACAAATTATATTGATATTATTCTCGCCCATATTCTACCTGTTTTGTTACTCCTCCTGGCTTTGCTTATGCTGTTGCTGCTCTTCTCCCCTCCAAACTCTTCTGGATCACTTTGTCATCTTCTTTTCAAGACTTCCTTATCCTCTGTCATTCTTCTCCATACTCTGTGAACTGAAGATGGATTTTTGATCGCATTGTCTTGATCACAGTTTTCTGATGTCTCTCTTCCCCACTTCATTTGTCCCTTATGATCTTTACCCTTTTTGGTTATGAAACTCTTTCAATGAAGATGATGAGTCTGAATCAACTGAGACATTCTCCCTGAGAACTAACCAACCTCTTGACCCTGCAACCCTTGCAAGCCCGGACCTTCTCTCAGACAAGTCGGACGTCCGATCATCCGCTGCAGAGCAAATTGAGCACTTATCATATGAAGAGAGAGCTGGAGGTAGAGGGTTGGACGAAAAAGAGCCTTTGGCCATTGTGTTCAAAGACAGGTTGGAAAAGGTTGAAGGGATTCAAAGAAGTGGCATCAATGAAAGTAGACAGGTACAAGGACAGGATGCTACAAAAGAGAAATGGAGTTCACTCTCTGAGACTAGGTCTGTTGAAAAAAAGTATCCCCCTGTCGAAGAACCAGTTTTCCAGGAGATTTGCATTGAGGGGACGACTTCAAGTAGATCTGCCACAGAGGTCAGAGACATGACAGGCATGGTCTCACAACTCAGCCTCGACATGGACCAATACCTTGAGGAGAGATCTGTAGTGACATGTAGTTCTCTAGAAGACCTTGTCCAAGATAAATTTGATCAGGTTATTGTAAAGCGCGATGGCAAACGGCGTCCACCAGACATCAAGAAACCTATTAGAAAGAAACTTAGAGACAGAGAGCGTTCTGGATGTAGTAGCTCTGAGGGCGAGCTGGAAAGGATGAGCTCTGAAGAGTCTTTAGATGGCGATGTTGTTCTTAAGGAGAGTGCTCTTTTACCCACCACAGTCATGGATCCTCCAACTTCTCCTTCAGTGGTTGAGACACCTATAGGATCAATAAAGGAAAGACTTAAAGCTTTACAGAACAAAGCTGAAGAGGAGGGGGTGAACAAAGATACTCAGGAAGTAATTCCTCAGGCAAAATATTCTATTGCCAAAAGGAAGAATGAGGCAAACATGCCAGAACTTCCCAGAGTTCCCAAGTCCCCTAAATCCCCCAGATCTCAGACGGAGAGATTAGAGGAGACTATGTCTGTTAAGGAACTGATGAACGCATTTCAGACTGGACAGGACCCTTCAAAAAGTAAAGCTGGCCTTTTTGAGCACAAAGCAGTGGCTTCGTCTTGTATTTCAACATTGATATCTGAATCAGGAGATTCTGATCAGATACAGAGGACAGAACAAAATCTTATGCAGGAGCCAAACTCCCAAACTCAGAGGCTCAAAAATTTCAATCAAGAGAGTGATGTCAACAAATCTGACAAAACAGATGTAGATGATCAACCTGTAAGCTTAATTAACGATAACTCAGAGGAATCACAGTTAATGTCACATAGTGCTTCTTTTGGTAAGGCAGTCAAATTTGCTGATACAATTCAATGTGACGACGGAAGAGTTAGCCCACAGACAGAGGTGCCAGAAAAGGAGACTATGTCTGTGAAGGAGCTGATGAAAGCATTCGGGACAGAGCATGATCCCTCAAAAACCAAAGCTGGTGTGTCTCCTTGCATTTCAACGATATCTGAATCAGGAGATTCTGAAGAGATAAACACCATTAACCAAAATGCTCTGCAAGAGCCCAAATCCCAAATCCAAACTCAGAACCTCACCATTTTCTATCAACAGAGTGATGTCAAGAAATGTGACGAAAAAGACACAGAGGAACAGCCAGCAAGCCTTATCAGAGATAACTCAAAGAAATCCCTATTAATTTCAGATAGTGCTTCTTTTGGAAAGATGGTAACATTTGCTGATACAGTTCAATGTGATGACAGAAGTGTTAGCCCACAGAGAGAAACTTCAGAGTTGTCAGAGAAGGAGACTTTGTCAGTTAAGGAGCTGATGAAATCATTCCAGTCTGGGCATGATCCCTCAAAAAATAAAGCTGGGCTTTATGAACACGAAGCTGTTGCTTCTTCTTGTATTTCAACATTGATATCTGAATCAGGAGATTCTGAAGAGATGGAGATGTCTGAGCATGGTGCTACACAGAAGCCAAAATCCCAAACTCAGAATCTCACAAGTTTCCACCAACAGAGTGATGGCAAGGAATGTTATACAACAGACTTAAGGGATCGACCAGTAAGCTTAAGGAGAGATAACTCTGAAGAATTACAGTTAATTTCAGATCATTCTTATTTTGGAAAGACAGTAACATTTGCTGATACAATTCAGTGTGACAATGAAAATGTTAGCCAACAGAGAGAGGCATCAGATTCAGAGTCAGAGAAGGAAAGTGTGTCTGTTAAAGACCTGATGAAAGCCTTCCAGACTGGGCATGATCCCTCAGAATCTCAAGCTGGGCTTTATGAACACAACGTTATGGCTTCTTCCATTTCAACATTGATATCTGAATCAGGAAATTCTGAAGAGATACATATGACTGCACAAAGGACTGAGCAAAGTCCTATGCAGGAGTCAAAGCCACAAACCCAAACTCAGAGCGTCATAATTGTCTATCAAGGCAGTGATGTCAAGAAATTTGACAAAACAGACTTCCCAGATGACTCTGAGGAGTCACAGTTCATTTCAGATGGCACTTATTTTGGAAAGACAGTAACATTTGCTGATACAGTTCAGTGTGAGGATGGAGGTGTTATCCCACAGAGAGAGGCATCAGAGTTGTCAGAGAAAGAGACTACATCTGTTAAGGAGCTGATGAAAGCATTCCAGACTAGACAGGACCCTTTTAAAAGTAAAGCTGGTTTGGGTGAACACAATGCCAGTGCTTCGTGTATTTCAACACTGATATCTGAATCAGTGGGTCCTGAAGAGATACAGATGACTCAACACAGTCCCACACAGGAGCCTAAATCGCAATCCCAAATACAAAATGTCACAATTTTCCATCCCCAAAGTGATATCGACATATGTGGAACATTAGATTTAGAGGCTCAAACAATAAACTTAATGAGCGATAACTCTGAGGAATTACAGCTAATTTCAGATATTGCTTATTTTGGAGAAACAATAGAAATTGATGATACAATTCAGTTTGATGATGTAAGGGTTTACCCTCAGAGAGAAGAGCCAGAGTTGTCAGGAAAAGGCAGGATGCAGTTAGAGGAACCGGTCATAGGCACTGGTAGGAGTTTATCTGAAGACCTACAGATCAGCCCTGATCGCCGACCTTCTGAGGACTTCAGTGCTGATATAAAGGCTGAGCTGGAAGACAGTCCTGAGTACCAGCTTTTCAAGCAGACTTCAACAGCTGAAGATGTAAGCAATCAGCTGGAGGCACCTGAGGAGGAAACCATGGCAGATTTTGACACAAATCCAGCTTCCAACTCCAGTCCCTGTATAAAAAGTTATTTTGGGGAAGCTTCTCTTCTTGAGAATCAAATGAAAGATGATGATCTAAGTTCTGAGAGTCCCAAGCATGAAGGTATGGCTGAATCCTCAAACCCAAGTGTTGATATTAGGACCCCTCGTTCCAGCTCAGAGGAGAGCGAGAATTATGAAGGACTCACAGTGACGGATCAAATGACGAATGAAATGTTTACTTGCACTACTAGGAGAAAGGAAAACTACGTCATACTTTCACAAAAGGAGAGACTTCATAAAGCAAGCAAAGAAAGCACAACAATTGATCATGGAAGCAAAATATTCTTTACACAAACTGACACTGAAGTAACAGAGGTCAAAATCGGGGAGCCACAACCTCAAGAAGTCCACATTGAGAGGAACACCTCTAGCCAGGCATCCACTGCAGTAAAGGATATGTCAGGGATGTTGTCCTTAATGAGCAGTGAGTTGGATCAGTATCTAAAAGCTTGGCCTGTGGCACGTCAGCCACCAGGAGAGGATATTGTTCAGGAGAAATTTGAACAAACAATTCTAATAAAAGACAAAGATAAAGAAAATCTTGCATTTGTCACTGATGAAAATAACGGAGCAACAGCTGGTGGCAAAACAAAAGAAATAGATCATGCGCCAACAGAAGAACATCCACTTACATGGGGAGGTGAAGAAGAAGAGAGTGAATTTGAAGAAGTAAACAATACATCAGGGTTGTTGTCAGTCAACGACTGGAATCAGTATGAAGAGGCTATGCCTGTGGTTAGTCGAACAATAAAGGAAGATAATGTGCAGGAAAAATTTGAAATTTTCACATCCTTCACTGATGAAAATAAAGGAGTGACAGTAGATTGCACAATACAAGAAACAGATTGCGCAGCAGTGGAATGTAAGGTCACAAGGAAAGGTGAAGAAATGGTGAGGGAATTTGGAGAAACCAAAGCAACCTTGATTGAAGAACTCCCAATGAAGGAAGAGTGGGTAGAGAGAGAGGCTTCATATCAGCCATCTTCAAAAGTAAAAGACATGTCAGGCATGCAATCAGTGCTTAACAGTGACTTAGACAGGTACCTCGAGGACAGGCCAGTGAAATTCACGCCTCCAGAAGAGGACGTTGTCCAGGAGAAATTTGAAGAAGTTAATCTCACCGAAATCCATAAATCCTCCAGGGAGGAGCAAACAATAACAACATGTGAAAAAACCCAAAAAGTAGCTGGTTTTGCTTGGAAGGATAATATAAGTGGAGAGACATATGAACCGAGTGGTGTGGTTGAACTCAAAGAACTTACACCAAGTTCTTTACTGGAGACATCAACCCAAGAAGTTTGCATCAAGAGGATAGGCCATGAACCATCTACAACTGAGAGGGATATGTCAGGCATGTTGTCACTTCTCAGTAGTGACTTGGATCAATATCTCGAGGAAAGGCCAGCGGTAATGCAATGCCACCCAGAAGAAGATGAACTAGTCCTTGAGTGCTACAAACAAGTTAGACTGACAACCAGTGATTTAAACAATAAGGTAGATGTAGAGGCCAATGAACATATGCAGGCAGATGTAATTGGAGTCACAGAATTGTCACCAAGTTCTGAATTGGAGACACCACTCCAAGAAGTTTTCATGGAGAGAAAGTCCCAGCAACAACAGTCTGCAACTGAGAGGGATGTGACAGGTATGTTGTCACTGCTCAGTACTGACTTAAATCGGTACTTAAAGGAAAAGCCAGTGGCAATTCAACTCCACCCAGAAGAGCATCTAGTCCATGAGAGCTGCAAAGAAGTTTTTCTGACAAGCAGTAATTTGGAGGATAAGATAGATGTAGAGGCAGAGGAACACCTACAGACCAATGCAGTTGGAGTTACAGAATTGTCAACAAGTTCTGTATTGGAGACACCATTCCAAGAAGCTTGCATGGAGAGTAAGACACAGCAACAACAGTCTGCAACTAAGAGGGATATGTCAGGCATGTTGTCACTGCTCAGTACTGACTTAAATCAGTACATAAAGGAAAAGCCAGTGGCAAGTCAACTCCACCCAGAAGAGCATCTAGTCCATGAGAGCTGCAAAGAAGTTTTTCTGACAAGCAGTAATTTGGAGAATAAGATAGATGTAGAGGCAAATGAACACCTACAGACCAACGCAGGTGGAGTCACAGAATTGTCAACAAGTTCTATATTGGAGACACCATTCCAAGAAGTTTTCATGGAGAGAAAGTCACAGCAACAACAGTCTGCAACTGAGAGGGATGTGACAGGTATGTTGTCACTGCTCAGTACTGACTTAAATCGGTACTTAAAGGAAAGGCCAGTGGTGATACATTGCCAGTCAAAAGAGGAGGTAGTCCATGAAAGCTTTGAAGAAGTTATACTTACAAAAGACACTAACAGAGAAACTCTTTCATTCTCCCCTGAACATAAGATGATGTCACAAGATAAAAATGCAGACTTTGTGAACCTCGATAAAAAGGGAGCTATAGAGAGTGGATGGCAGATAAGTTCCCATGAAGATGAAAGACTGAAGAGTTTTTCATGTGAGGAAAGTGAGGCGAAAAACTCACCATGTGCAGCGTCGCATTTTAATGACTCAACTGAAGGGGCAGTGGGCATTACAAAGCCATATGTGACAATGGATGACTCTAACAATGATCATAAAGATGTTGTTGCTGATTCAATTCTCAAAATACACGATTTCCTGCAACTAACAAATAGGTCTGACACGTTACAACGACCGGACAATTTGATGAACCTAAACACTGTGCTTTCTGGTGACCCAGCTAAAGAGCTATGTCATCAGGACTCGTTAGAGTCAAGTCCTCTCATGGAGGATGGATCTTCAAAAAAATCCCCTGATTCAATTGAGCCAAGCCCTACCGGAGAATCCCCTAGTCCAGACTCTCTTGAGGGAAGTCCCACTCAAGCAAAGGATACAGAACTTAAGACGCCAGCCAAAACAGCTGTGTACGAGGATTATGCCTCCCAGCTGAAAGCATGTTATTCTTCTGACAGAAGTTTTTGCAGGGATGAAAGTGAGCAAGAAGAACAAGGAAATGACTATGGGATCATCCAAATGGAAAGTGAGATAAATTACCAACATTCCTTCTCAGCAAAGACAGTGACCGATGGCAGTATGTATTCCGACACCAAAATATGTGACAGTGAGAATCTTCACTTGCTCATAAGGAAAGACTCTCTCGAGGCAGATAGTGAGGATGATACCACCAATAAACAGTTCACCCCAGAAGAAGAGATGTTTAAAATGGCTGCAAAGATCAAAACATATGAAGAGATGGAACAGGAGGCTAAAGTAAAGAGAGACAAATCAGAGAAAGTTGATCTCGGAAACGACGAGCCAGATCTAAAAGAGTTTGCACAGCTTGAAGCTGAGAAACAGGTTCATCTTTGTCCTGCAAAGGACAGAAACCCACCAGATGAAACACTTGTTCGAACATCAGGTAATGAGACAACCCTCGATCCATTTCAGTTTCAAGAGGGGAAGCTTTTTGAAATGACCAGAGGGGGAGCTATTGATATGACAAGAAGAAGTTTTGATGAAGGGGAAGGATATGCATTTTTTCATATTGGGGAACATCCAGTTGATGAAGTTGTGCAAGAGGAGACTGAGGAATGTCAAACAAAGTATTTAGCTTTAGAGAATAGTGATTATATTACAGATACAACCCTTGAAGAGATCCCCAAATCATATCTGACTCATGGTGCCAATGACACAATTCCTACTCCCAAACCCAGAACTCTCGTCAAACCCTCAAGTGACAAGTCAGAAAGAGAGATGTCACTTTCTGAAGCTGATCTTGGCAGCTCCGTAGAGGTTCAGCTTGGTTCCCCCAGTGCTTTGGAGAGACTAACCAACATTCAAAGTGAGGTCGAAAACTTTGAAAGTCTTGGTCTAGGCTACCTAGACTCTACCATAGCTGACCTTCAATCAGACACATCCACAGTTGCCCATTCAGCGTACTCAGAGCAGAGCCATGATTCATCAGACTCCTCTCCTGATGATGATGATGATGATGATGAGGAGGAAGATGAAGAAGACCAGTGCTCAGTTATAGAGATGTCCCTTGCACAGGCTGGCATCCCAGCATATCATCAGGATTCATCCCCATCTTTGGAAATGACTATGAAAGACTCACAGAAATCTCAGCTTGATCAGGTTCAAAGAAAAGCAGAAAGAAGCTCAACTTTGGATCGTAGGACTAGATCTGAGGCTGATAGTGGCACAAGTAAAGCCTCTAATAAAGACTGTAGGAGTTATTCTGACAGTAGTGAACCCACTGATATATCCAACCTTTCTCCATTCAAACTTTCTGTCACGATGCAACAGAAACCTCCAGCTCAGGCAATCTCCTCCTCTCCCCAAAGGAAAGAAATCCAACTCTCTACGACAACTGAAACATCGGTTAGGTCATCTTTGGATGCTGATTATATAAGCAGCACTAGTCACAGGAGTCCAGACTCTGTTATCTCCACATATGACATTGTGGTCTTACATAGTACTGATTCAGAGGTCAACCCGTTGCCAGGTGTGCAACCATCTTCTGGGAGAGAAGATGTATTTCAATCCAGGCCTGCCTGGGATGCTACGGTGGAAACTCAGATGCAGAGAATCTTCGATGAGCCAGCTCCAGACTGTACGCCAGGTATGGCCAGAACTACATGAGCTTTTACTTTCCTATTTCTTCTCCTTGGCAGCAAGAGCCTTTTCCTCTTCCTAAGAACGTAATGCCACCATTAGTCATTATTGTATGGTTTTCACTCGTTGTGATTTGTCTTGTCCCATCTTTCATTGTGTTTTCGTATTTTGTGTGTGTGTGTGTGTGTGTGTGTGTGTGTGTGTGTGTGTGTGTGTGTGTGTGTGTGTGTGTGTGTATTTGTTGTGGTGTTTTGCACGTTGGTAAGTCACTTTCCCATCTGTGTTTGTGTATATGCAATCTCAAGATTGAATGGCCATGTTGTTAAAGAAGTTGTAGCTTTAACAATTTGGATGCAGACTTCCATCATTGTAATGGGATCCGCTCTACTAATACGGCTTTACTAATATTAGCATCCACATCGCTTAATAAGCACAATAATGGCAATGCTTACACTAATGATTTAAAACAGCATGTGCTAATTGTGACCAAATAATCATAGTCTGTAAACAAGTCAACTTCTCCTCAATGACAAATCCAACCTTCGTGTTATCATCCATGTAAACATCACAGACCCACATTTCATTTGAGAGTATTACAGCCCATAACATAGGCTATATAGGCTAGGAAATAACATTGTAGATCTACACTTACAAAGTATATTACCATTGGTACCTGCAATGTGAAAAAAACATCACTTTGAAATATGTAGGTAATGGTATTCTATGCTTTGAACTGTTGACCATGATATTAGAATGTAATGTTTGGCTCTGACGGCATTTTTTAGTGGATTGGCAGGATGATGCTGACAGGAAAGAGGAGACATTGGCTATCGTTGCAGATCTCCTTGGCTTCAGCTGGACTGGTAAGCTGTCAAACAATGCAATCGTTCTTATTTGGTTTGAATTGGAACTGTTTATTTGTTCGCAGAACTGGGGGAATAGCTAAAAATGAATCCATGTTCTAGTACAAAAACACGCACATTATAGTTAATTTAAAAAAAAAAAATTTTAATCCCTTGTTTTGTTACCCATCACTCTAGAACTGGCAAGAGAACTGGAATTCAGTGAGGTTGATATCCAATTAGTGAGAACAGAGAATCCTAATTCCCTCCAAGAGCAGAGCCATGCCTTGCTACAGCGCTGGGTTGAGCGAGAAGGCAAACATGCCACAGGTACATTGCTTGTAGGTCTGACAGATTTGAATCGACATTTTTCTAGTATTTGTTGGAAGATACTGAATGCTCTATTAGCTTTTTACTTTCATACACTCCAGGTAATTTATGAGAACACATTTGCAATTTTTAAATGATTTAATTGTTGTGTTTATTGAATGCTTTTTTTTAACAGTATATTAATGAGTGATAAATCCTTCCACAGAGGATTGTCTGATTAAGAGACTAACCAAGATCAACCGCATGGACATCGTCCATCTCATTGAAACCCAGATGAACAAGTCAGTTCAAGAGCAGACGTCTAGAACTTATGCAGAGATAGAGAAGACACTGGATCACAGTGAAGGTAGTAACATCTCCAACCACTCAACTCAGCAAACCGTTTGAAAGCTCTATCTAACACCAGGCTGTATTTGTGTGTCTGCTAGCACTCTTATACATCATGTGTGTTTTTCAGTGTCAGTAGCCCTATCTTCAGTGCAAGATGATGCAGACAGCCCCAGAGTGAGAAGGGTTGAGTCTGACCGCAGACCACCCCCAGCTGTTTCTGAGGAGGACCTCTCAGTTGCTTCCCTACTGGATATTCCTTCCTGGGCAGAGCCTGTTGGATACACCCACTCAGAGAGCATGCATGGTGACCTGTTGGAGGAGCTCGAGATCCCACAGTAAATGATTGATTTGAAATTATTCCTGATTCTGCAACACACATTAGTAGCATAATATAGTGCCACATCATTCGACGTGCTTCAACTGACAGCCATGGCACACACCAGACACGCAATATAGGCATGGAGACAAAAAAACACAAACCATGTTGATGCTGGGAAATAGAACAGTGTCATATCTTGACACAAGGAGGTTCCATATATTTGCCCCGTGCCCATTGTTTATGGGGGTTGCCCTTTAGTCTTGTTAGATTAGAGCTTTGACATATCACATTCATCCAAGGCATATTTTGTGACCTAGCCTTCCTCTTGTGTTACAGTGAATTGAACCCTAACCTCTGCACCTCCGAGGATGTGATTACGGAGGAAACTACAAGTTACGACAACTTGGATGAGCAAGTAAGTATGCTTGTGACTTCAAAAGAAGCAGCACTCGGGAGCCAAGTAACTCAGGTTTTTGACCCCAAAGTGAAAGACCAGCAAGATTGCTGCAGTGTTGAAGTTCATGCCACCATGCCGTACCAAGATGGCACTCAGTGCCAAGTCAAAGATGACTCCAGCCAATCCTTACCATTGAAGCAGTGTGGTTGTGAGGATGAGCAAGGGCAATCACCTGCAATTCTGAAGTTACCATCATCTATATCTATCAAAGACTTTGGTTTGAGCCTATCAGAGTCGGACCAAGCTGAGACTGACTTCAGTGAGATTTGTGATGAGTTTTCCTATACACCACAGCATACAGATGCAGCTAAAACCATTGTCAGAAGAATTTCTGACAGCCCTAGCCTGTTCCACCAATCAACTCTGGCCATGACTGAAGATGACATAGATGTAGCTCAAAAAAGCAAGCTCTCTCAGAAGTGTACTGATGAGATCACAGCAGAAGTACTGTCTGGTCATGACAAGATACCGCAGGCTTTAGGTGTGAACATGGACTGTAAACCCTTCAAGTCAAGCAAGAAAGAAAATACGAAATCCCAAGTGTACAGTGATGGGTATCCAGAAAACATGCCCTTCATTGATGATTTGATTGAACCCATTATTGCTACAGCCAAGTACAGCATGGTGAAAGCATTCAAAATGAAGGTACCAAAGACCAATTTGCCACACAGTCTGACAAGCGGCCCTGCTCACATGGCTTGTGACTCAACTGATATCAACCATCTTGCACAACAGTCACCTAAGAAAGATGTGACATTATGTTGCACTTTTATAGAGAACAGCCCTTTGACCCCTGATTCTTTGGCAAATAAAAAGCAATGTGGCTCATTTTCACCTGTTGAAGAAAGGGGTCTATTCCCTGTAGAGGCATGGATATTAAATGACCCCATAGCTAGACCGACATCCCCTGAATCTTTAATGTCATTCAGTTGTTCTAGGGCAATGTCACCTAACGTAACCTTACCTGCAGAATGTTCAAGTATGTTGGATGGCAGCCGGGCACTCTCTCCAAGGTCTGATCATTGTAGTTTACAAGATGTTACCAATAATTTCACTGAAAATGAATTTGACCTCAGTCAATCAAATACAAATGAGTGTGCACCACTGTTTGGTTTGAAAGATTCTGCCACACACTCCTTTTGGTCAGAGTCATTAGAGTATTGGAATGACTATAGGCCACTATCCCCTGACTCTCAAGTACCTAAATATAGTTTACCTATACCGGAAGGTGTACAGATAAAGAGAGATTTTAGAGTATTCTCATCTGTGACATCAGATACTGAATCTGATGAGTTTTTAGAAAGGGATTGCCGACCATTCTCACCAGACTCACAGACTTCTCAGTGCAGTTTCTCATTTCTTGAACTCTTGCTCTCAGAACCTATACGCACCCAACTTATGAGTCAATACTGTGATTATTATTTAGTATATTCAGGAGGGAATCCACCCTCATCACTACTGACCTTAGCTTCTTACACTACAATCTACAAAAAACTGGATCAGGGGAGCCATTTGACACCAGAATTAGTAGCTTCAGATCACTTGCAATATTCTATGAATGCTCCTTCATCACCTCTTAATGAATGGTTGGATGAAAAAAGCACAGATGCACCAGATTTATTGACATTTCATGCAAAAGCTGAAGAAAGGGCATCTCTGTTAACAACTGCTATTTCAACAGCAAAATATCTTACACATGCAGATGTCAAAAGTACCCATATTGCAGATTCAGGCTGTTCCAGTCGAACAGAAAAGTCATTTCAGCTAAGGCCGCTGACATCTGAAGCACCAAAACAACAGAAGGATACTCAATCTTTCCTTGATTACTGGTTTTGTAAGTTTGAACCACAATTCCCTGAATGCTTGCCATCACAAGGTCAGTCACATAATGATTTAACAAACATTACACAAAACACCTTACACCACAATGAAATGCAAGATGCCATGAATCACAAAAGTCACGAACAATATGTAGAAACTTATAATGCGCTCAAGCAACTACCGACATCCAAACCAATGGTCTTTAACTTGGTAAAGAGACCAAAATGCATTTTAGAGTTCACAAATAACATAGTTTCAATGTCAAACACAGAGACGTGTTTAATTAGGACTGAAAACAGAGAAGGCAATTGTAGATTTGAAGATGGCTTGAAAATATTAGGAGCGCAGTCCCATAAGTCAAAAACATTTTTGGGAGAACCATACAAGGATTTATTCCTTGAAAACACATTGGATGAAACAAAACAGGGTTCTCCAAAGTCTGCATTTTTCCCCGACCTAAGCGCATCCTCCCCAAAATCTGTGGCGTCAGATGAGCAGTGTTCTTTGTCTTCTCGCATGACATTTAGCGCAATGAAGAGTCAACATTGTAACTACTACTTACAGTACTCTGAAAGTAGATCAGTATCACCTCTTTCAACACTGTCAGATGTTGAGTATTCCGGATTTTGTCTCGAGGAATTGTCTGCCGACAACAGACCAGATTCCCCAGATTCACTTACTTCACAAGTTGACGCT